TAACTTGGTGAAGAAAATAGACATATAAGTCCAGGAAGCACAGAGACTCACAAACAAGATGCAAGCAAACATACCCAACCCAAGACACATATAATTAAAATATCAAAGGTTAAAGACAAAGAGAGAATCTTAAAAGCAGCAAGAGAAAAGGCATTAGTTACCTACAGGGGATACCTCATAAGACTGCCAGCCGATTTCTCAAAAGAAACTTTGCAGGCTAGAAAGGATTGACAAGAAATATTCAAAGTGGTGAAAAGCAGGGACCTACAGCCAGGATTACTCTACTGAGCAAAGCTTTCATTTGGAATCAAAGGAGAGAAAAAGAGTTTTCCAGATTAAAAAAAAAAAAACTAGAGGAATTCATCACCACCAAACCAGCATCACATGAAATTTTAAAGGTTCTTCTTGAAGAATAAAAAAAATTAACAATAAAATGGCAACTAATACTTATTTATTAATAATTGAATCTAAAAAAACAAGATAAATAAATGAAACAGAAATGAAGGCATAGATATGAGAATATTTTGATGGTTGCCAGATGGGAGAGACATGAAGGGGTTTGGCGAAAAAAATGAAGAAGTACAAATTGGTAGTTACTAGATAGTCATGGGGATGTAAAGTACAGTATAGGAAATACAGTAGCCAAAGAACTTATATGCATGACCCACAGACATGGACAATGGGGTGGGGACTGCCTAAGGGAGTGGGGGGCGCTCAGTGGAGGAAGGCAAAGGGGAAGAAATTAGAACAATGGTAATAGCTTAATCAATAAAACATAATTTAGAAGAATAAACCCTAATGTACCTTAAGAGACTGAAAACCAGGTCAAAGCTGAAGTTCCTGAGTGAAATTCGGTCTGTGTTTTGCTGAGTAAGATTTTCACTTACCTGGTCTCCCATGGATTAAAAGGAATTTCACCAGCTCTACTGCTACCTCGTACTCCAACTGCACACCTGCTGCACTTGCATCCAAATTAGGAACATTCTAAACAGATGAAAGTTGAAAGAAATATAAAAGAAAACAAACAAACAAAAACAAATTAAATGAATCACAAAAATACCCAAGCAGAGACATTGCCCAAAGAATTGACAGAGGAAAGAAAACATCAGAGATGGGGAACAGAATTTCTGTTTGGGGTGATGAAAAAGTTATGGATGTAAAAGTGATGGTTGGAACTTCCGCCAAGATGGAGGCATAGGTGGAAACACTCTGCCTTCTCTCACAACCAAGTTTAAAAACAATAAAGTTTTAGCAACAAAAACACACCCAAACCACAGAAAATTGAACTATATGGAAGTCTGACAACAACGAACCCTTTAGCCAAACCGGTAAGAGAGGCAGAGCCAGCAGCAGAGTGGGGTTGGGCAGGAAAGATCCACCAGACCAACCGGCACATGACCCAGGTGGGCAGGCAGCCGTGGGCAGATCCCATGTGTGGAGTAGCAGGCAGATCCACTGAGGGCTGACCACGGTCACACATTCGTGTGCAGATAACTGGAGAAGGAGTGAGCATGAGACTGAGACAGACCACACTGGCCCCAGAGGCGGGAAGCAGCAGAGGGGACCGCTATTGTCCCTCTCTGACCCTGTCCCCACATACAGCGTCACAAATCAGGGACCTGGGTGGCCCTGCCCTGGTGAACACCTAAGGCTCCTCTCCTCATACCTAACAGGTGCGAACAGAGTAAAACATTATGGCTCAAGAAGAACAGCTCAAAGCCCCAGAGCCAATAACTCTAAGTGATGCAGAAATAGCCAAACTCTCAGATGCACAGTTCAAAACACTGGTGATCAGGATGCTCATAGAACTGGTTGATTTTAGTCACAAATTAGAGGAACAAATGAAGGCTAAACTAATTGAAATGAAGGGAAATGCACAGGAAACTAATAGTGATGGAAAGGAAACTGGGACTCAAATCAAAGGAGTGGAGCAGAAGGAAGAAAAAAATGACCAAACAGAAAAATATGAAGAAACAAGAATTCAAAAAAAGGAGGAGAGGCTTAGGAACCTCCAGGACATCTTTAAACGGTCCAACATCCGAATTATAGGGGTACCAGAAGGGGAGAGGAACAGCCACCAGTGGAAAACTTATTTGAACAAATAATAAAGGAGAACTTCCCCAATCTGGCAAAGGAAACAGACTTCCAGGAAATCCAGGAAGTTCAGAGAGTCCCAAAGAAGGTGGACCCAAGAAGGAACACACCAAGTCACATCATCATTACATTAGCCAAGATTAAAATGAAGGAGAGAATCCTAGAAGCAGCAAGAGATAAGGAGACAGTCATCTACAAAGGAGTTCCCATCAGACTGTCAGCTGATTTCTCAAAAGAGACCTTACAGGCAAGAAGGGGCTGGAAAGAAGTATTCCAAGTCATGAAATCCAAAGACCTACAATCAAGATTGATCTATCCAGCAAAGCTTTCATTTAGAATGGAAGGGCAGATAAAGTGCTTCTCAGATAAGATCAAATTCAAGGAGTTTATCATCACCAAGCCCTTATTATATGAAATGTTAAAGGGACTTATCTAAGAAAAAAGAAGATAAAAAAATATGAACAGTGAAAGGACAGCAAACTCGCAGTTATTAACAACCACACCTAAAACAAAAGCAAACTAAGAGAACAGCTAGATCAGGAGCAGAACCATAGAAATGAAGATCACATGGAGGGTTAGCGACAGGGGAGTGGGAGAAGGAGAAGGGGGGAGAAGGTACAGAGAATAAATAGCATAGATGGTAGGTAGAAAATAGATAGGGGGGAGGGTAAGAATAGCAGGGGAAATGCAGAATCTAAAGAACTTGAGACACGTGTTCATAAACTAAGGGGGGGATAGAACAACTGTAATGGCATAATCAATAAAATATATAAAATAAAAAATAAAAAGCCAACTACCAAAAAAAAGTGATGGTTGCATATCATTATGAAAGTAATCAATGCCAATGAATATAAAAATTGTACTGAAAATGTTTAAAATGGCAAATTTTATGTAATATATTTTACCAGAATTAAAAACCCCAATAACATAATATGCCAAATATTTCTGAATGGCACACTTAAATGAGTGAGTAGGGAATATGAATTATATCTTAATAAAACAGTTTAAAAAGTGTGAAGGAGAAAGAGAGGATCAAACCTCCTGAAAGAGAAAGACCACGGCCCAAGTGTGAGAGTCCCAGCTTTTCTGTTTTCATTTTTAAGAATTTGATTTGATGTGCTGCTTCCTCCACAGAACGGCACTTCCCTGGCCCCAGTCCCATTTTAATCTGCATCAGGAGGAAACAGGCTGGCAGAATACTGCTGCTGTTGGAATATGAAGCTTATTTGTTTTAGCACCGTGGCTACTAGAAATCTTGTTTTTTCCTTCCAATATTTAAAAGAATCATGCTGAACAGTGGCAGGTGGTCCTTTTGATTCCTTATCAAGATGGCCTTTTGGACAGCAATGGAAATCCAGTAACCTGAAGTAAGAAAGGTGTCCCTGATTGGTTATGTTTTGGGCCAGATTTTCCCAAATTCTGACAACACATGGAAATGAAAATAGCTACTGACAATTGCTTTGTTAGAAAATTGGACATCTAGTTATCTGCAAAAAATGTTACAGTGTTTATGACTCATGGATTCCACATGATGAAATCTCACATTTCTATAATCACTACCTAAGCCCCAAATTCATTAAATCCTATTAACAATTTTACAATGCTTACCAATTTTAAAATTATCATATTAAATTTTATGTATTTTAACCAATTTCATCAATTGCTTCTGCCCTAGCGTGGAAAAGACTTCAGTGTAATGCTGTAGGCTGAAAGAAACAACTAACTTATTTGTCAGTTAAGGTAATTCAATCATCGCCATTTCTACAGTACCTAAAAAAGATATATAAATCTTTTTTTATAAAAGATTTTATAAAAGATTATATAAAAAAGTGATACGGCTTTTTAAAAAAAGATTTTATTTATTTATTTTTAGAGAGGGAAAGGGAGGAAGAGAAGGTCAGAAACATAAATGTGTGGTTGCCTCTCACATGCCTCCCACAGAGAACCTGGCCTGCAATGCAGGCATGTGCCCTGACTGGGAATCGAACCAGCATCCCTTCAGTTTGCAGGCTGGCACTCAATCCACTGAGCCACACCAGCCAGGGCACAGCCTTTGTTTTTATGCTGTTTGATTTTGTTATATATCTTTTATTTTCTACCAACAATGACAATCCACTGATTAAAAAAAAAATTCTATATAAGAGCAAGGAGATGACAGTGCAGATGGACCAGGAAGAAGAGATGAGTCATTTTACAATTTATGAAGATAAATATCGCCACCTCGGGTTTTATAAAAAATAAAGCCATGCTTAACAGTAATACTTGAGCACTTAGTTGTTTTAATTGTGGCTCTAAGAGAAGTAATTAATATATCAAAATTTTCTCCTGGATACATTTTTTTTTATTTTAATTTTTTTTCTTGGGATGATTCTGATTTTCTCAAAATTAGTTAACAACTCCAAAATAAAAGGTCAAAAAGCCTTCCTTAGGACAAACTTGTTCTGTTCCATGATTCTTCTGGAACCACAGTCAATGAAATGATCATGAACACAATAGTGTTTGTTCTGGGACAGACTTTCTGATTCTTTATTCCAAGACAAAGAAAGACTACAAAATCCAAACCAAAAAAAATTTCTCCCAAACAAACTGTACTGTTTAAATGATCCTCTTCATAGCTGTGCTAAAATGCTTGCTGGAGTTATTTTTAACTGGGAACAGAACATTCATTTTGGAAAATGTTCAGTTCCCTAAATTTATAATGAGCAAAAATACATACTTTCAATGAAAGACTATGCAAACTGCAGTACCCCCAGTCAGCAGAAAATAAATTTTCTGGTTTTTAGGAATGGAAGTCTTCTAGACACTCTGAAGCCCTGAATCTTGATCACCTGTATCGATGGTAGAAGAAAGAGTACTTAAGATCATCTAGACACAGAGTTTGTTTCTTTGCTCAGGCACATCTCCTCATAAATAATGAACCTAGGTGATGCCACATGGATTCAACTGTTTTTATTGATGGTTATTACTTTTACTAAACAATGTTAGCCATATAGGGTGATTAAAAAACTAATATTCTTGGAATATGTACAGTCTATCAGCTGATATAACTAGATCCAGTCTTTCATTATAGCAGTGAATTTTCAGGTTGCGTAAAGATAAGCAATTTATATTTCAACACAACAATCACTTCTGGGTTAAATCCAACACAATCCACAGACTCCTACGATGTGGCCTCGTGTACATACAGAGTTTTAGCACAAAGCCAGTGCAACTATGAAGGTATCCTCATTCTAATGTCTACTGTGCTGCTAGAGATGGGTGTCGGCGATGGGTATCCTCCTGAGTTCTACGATCTGGGAGTCCGTCAAGGTGCCGCCTTCCTGGCTGCCTTGACCAGATTCGTTATCACTGACACTGAGACCAGCACCTGCAATAGAAAAGGAATAAATACAAAAATTTCCAACTTTAGTGCAGTGAACTAAAGGTCAAGTTACATTAACTCAACACATGTTTATTTCTGTTACATTAGTAAAAAGTGAGCTTTACATTTAGAATAAACAGTATTAATACCTTATAATTATAAAATTATGCTTTAAATTCCTTTTGGTAGTTTTTAGAAATGAAATTAATTTCTAAAGATACAAGTTTGGATTCTTCATGGTTGACAGGTATAACTTTCTCCCAAAACAACATTTCCTGACTTGGGGCTTATTAAAAAAAAAATCCAGGCAGTTTATCAAAATTTTTCAGCAGGGGGTAGGATTTGATGCTCAAAAACATATAAACTCCAGCCCCACACAGCTGAATCCACCAGGCCCCTCAGCTGAGACCCAGCCAGTGTGGGCAGTGGTCCAAGAAGAAAGACATGCACTGACAGCACCTGGTGCCCTATCAGTTCCCGGAGACATGGGCATGGAACGACCCAGATCTGATCCCAAGATAAAAATAATTATGCAACACAGCGCCAAAACAGATCCACACAAGAATCCCCCAAAGCTAGCTGTTAATTAGAGATAGCACCCAGAATCGCTTTTGAGAAGGCTTCTCTATTCACTACTTTTTTCTCAACTTGGAATAACTCAGAAAAATTTATACTATGCTAGAGTAACACCTTATTCTTTTCTTCTCTAATTTGCAAACTCTCATGCTCTCTTTTTCACACACCCCCCCACACACACAGAATGGGGATGTGGTCATAGGGCGTGCTGCTGCCATGAATTTGTTGTACATTAGATCCTAAATGAGAAAGTGAAAAAGCAGTTGTGGGGAGCTGAGACCTCCCTTCTGGTCTGTGATGTAGGAAAGGCTTTTCTGCAGAGTTGGTAGCTCTGTGAAGATGGTGAGTTAGCTTTGCCTTACCCTATTTGGAATAGAAGCAGGAGGGGATTAATGACTTTCTTCTAGCTAAACCCTTCCTCTTCTGGGTCTTTGCCCTTCCCATCTCTCTCTAGTCAAGGCTGCAGCTGAAAACCCACTTCCTTCTTTTGCTTCTGTGACACTGTATTTACCCACCTCACCCTGTGATCTCCAGAGGTCTGCTTTCTCTTGCATCTTCTCTTGCTGTCCCACTACTGGAGGCCTTATCTTTAACACTGCATCAAGGCCTATAATATTCACCTGACCCCTGCCTGCTTTTTAGCCTAATGTCTCACTAGAGCTGCTGGTTACACCCTTTTCACACCATGCTGTTATGTTGGCACTGCCTGAGAGTCTCTTCTCATTCCCCAATCCCTTAATCTGGCTGCCTCCTCTTCCTGTATCATCTCTGGCTACCAATGGAAATGTGAGGATTCTCTTTAAAAATTTCTGACTTCCCCATTGGATTATGTCCTTCATATCTTTATATTCGCAGCTTGTAGGACATTCAGCAAATGTTTGTTGTATGTATTAGTAAACTATGTTCTGCATCCAGACTCCTGCAAATGCTTCTTCCATCCCTATTGTTCATTCTGCTCCTCTGATCTGTTCAGCATTCCACTACCTTTTCCTTCTCAAGAACAAACATTAGTCCCTATGGTCACACGTGTCAAGTCTGAAACTCTCTGCATTGGCTTTGAGATACTCCCTAATCTCACTGTACTCTCCTGAATAGACAGTTCAACCTTTGCCCATTGGAGAGCTTTTCTCAAAGTAGTCAGGTATCTCAACAGGCCCTGGATGTGCCATGTTAAGTCCAGCCTGTATGTCTTCCTGCTCATCCATCAAGATCCATGTCCAAACCCTTCCATAAATATTTCTTTCACCATTCCTTCAAAACAGGGAGTTAAGAGGATGCAAATGTTCTAGTTTATACCCGAAAATTATTAGTCACATCCTCTTTATTCTCTCAAATTTTTCTGGTTTGGATGGTAAATTATATGGTACCTCTACATATAATGTATATGTAAATCACAAAGTAAATGTGTACTAAGCTCAATGAGAAAAGAGAATGACATAAATATTTCAACTGCAAAAGAAAAGGCTGTCTGTATATTTTTAAAGATGTTTGTTTATTTATTTTTAGAGAAAGGGGAAGGAAGGGAGAAAGAAAGGGAGAGAAACATTGATGTGTGAGACAATCGCTGATCAGTTGCCTCTTTAACACCCCCAGTTGGGGACTTGGTCCACAAACCCAGGCATGTGCCCTGACCAAGAATCAAACTGGAGAACTTTTGATTTGCAGGATGACACCCAACCCACTGAGCCATACCAATCAGGGCAAGGCTGTTTATATATTTTAAAAATGAAATGAATAATAGTAGATATCAAATTGCTATGGAATTTAAATTACTTGAATTAGCTTAATAGAGCAAAGTTTTTATTTTAAAACACTAAAATTTCATTATTTGGAATTGTTTAAACTTATGAAAATCTTTAGATGTTTATTGAAATACATGCAAGGGGTTACATAACTTTAGAAAGTCATTTGGGGGTTCAAGTGGGACAACTGTAATGGCATAATCAATAAAATATATTTTTTAAAAAGTAATTTGGAGGTTCAGACCAAAAAGACCTAGAAGACCCACTTGTCTTGGAGTGGCCCATAGTTAAGGTGGCCCTGATATGGATCAAGACTTGCAAATTAAAATGTCACAGTGAAGCTAGTATAAACCAGTAACACAGGTCTGGTGAGCACTGGACAAAGCAAAGAGCTGTTGTACTGTCTAAGGACTATTATTCAACTCCAACCACTCTTTTGCTAGATTTCTTAAAAAAGAAATTCTTGACTTTGATGAGATATCTTATGGTTTAAATTTTTGCCTCAAAAATGCTAAAATGCTATGAGAATCAAACAAAACACCTTGGGGGCCAAATTTGGCCCATGTGTCAACTGCAAATTCTGTAGATAGAATGGCATGCGGATTGTTCCTTTGATTTGACCACATTCTATGATGGAAAGTGTAGAGAGGATGGTGCCTGATTTTTTATAGAACCATTTCCTAAAATAAAGGGAACCAATATGGAAGACTTCTAATTTGGTCTTTTGAAGTATTTATTTCCCAACGAGTGTAGTAAACTCTCAGGAATACTAAACTCTATCTATAGGTAAGGAAGTCATTCCATGCATTCCTGAACTGAATGCATTTAATACTTGTTATATATATAGGACCCACATCTAATTGAATAATGCTACAAGAATTTATTTCATGTGTAGTGCTTGGGACATAACCTTCCTTGAGAGTTATTTGTAGTCTGAAAGCCCCTCCGGTAGTCCTGATGCTAATGAGCATTTTACGCATTTGTGCACACCCTTCTTCAGGAAACTCTCTTCTCTCTTTAGTTCTCTTTCTCACCACACTACACAGTTCTCTCTCTGGGATCCACTCTTTTTTTTTTTTTAAAGATTTTACTTATTTATTTTTAGAGACAGGGGAAGGGAGGAAGAAAGACAGGGAGAGAAGCATCTATTGGTTGCCTCTCATACACGCCCCAACTGGTCCTTCAACCCAGACATGTGCCCTGACCAGGAATCAAATGGTGACCTTTCACTTTGTGGGACAATGACCAAGTTAGCCACATTTGTCAGAACTCTTCTATTCACGCTTCAAATGTAGATATTATCTAGGATGTTCTTTTTGTTTCCCTTCTTTTTGCTTGTTTTCCCTTCCTCCCTCACCTTCCTCTTCCTCACCCTTTTTTCTTCTCATCTCTTTCCTTCCACTCTGCCAGACCAACCTTATTCATCCTCATTGTCAAATATAATCTCTGAATGGATGCATTTGAAATCAATACCTCTGACCCTGAACCTTTGCCCAACATCCTTCAAATAGGACTACGAGCCACCAGGCCTAATAATTAACAGGTCCAAATCTGAACTTCTCCGATTCCCCCTGCGCACAAATGAACAGATGCTTCTTACGCAATCGCTTAGTCACCAGGAAAGAAGCACGAGCCTTTGTTGAATGTCCTCCCTGTTCCCTCAGTATTCCTCCTGTGTTCACCTTCTCTTTTCTATCTCTGCTCCCCAAATCTGAGGCCCAAACCTCATTCCTTTGGACAATTGTAACAACCTCCCAGTCTTTCTGATTGTGCTTCTAAATCTATTCTTCATACTTTCATAAGAGTTATTTTGCCTCAAAAACCAGTAGGAACATACTATTCCTCTCCTCATAAACCTCTGTGGCTCCCTAGGTTCTATAAAAATCCTACTCCTTAGCATATCTGAACAGCACTTAAATATTATGCAAAATACCAGGAAGTGTTCTGCTCCCCCAAGTGAATCTATCATTACATGTGTTCTGGAAACACCAGGTTAAACTGGGTGAAGTCATTATCTTCAAGTTAGGGATTTTTAGAGCTGCTAAAATGGTAATGTGAATTATGAATCTTCAGTTTCCCAAGTATACTCAGAGAATCCTCCCATTGAGGATGACTATGAATATCTCAAGAAGGGATTCTCTGAAACCCAGCTGGGGGAACTACAGTAATTTTTAACAATGCAGGTCAACTACCTTTCAGAATATTCTCCCACTGCCTGGCTCTGCCCCCCTCCAACTCAGCCACTTTGCAATGCTCCTTCCCTGCAAGTAGGCCATGCACATGTAAACCCTGGGCTTTGGCTAATCCTATTTCACTCCACCCACCACTTTTCCTATTTAAAACCTACACATTCTTTAAGAATCAATTAAGAGGTTTTTTAAAAAAATATCCTTGGCCCTGGGTGATGTGGCTCAGTGGATTGAGCACAAGCCTGTGAAGCAAAGGGTTGCTGGTTCGATTCCCAGGCAGGGCACATGCCTGGGTTGCAAGCCAGGTCCCCAGTAGGGGACACATATGAGGCAAACACACACTGATGTTTTGCTCCCATTGTTTCTCCTTCCCTTCCCCTTTATCTAAAAATAAGTAAATAGACTATTTTAAAAAATATCCTTGATTTCCTCAATAATGAATAACTCTACTACTACTTATATTACTTATTCCTATGTCATGCTTGTATAAATGTCTATTCCTCCAAGCAAATTCCAAGTTTCATATTCATTCATTCATCAATTCTCCAACAATATCTACAAAAGACTTATCAAGTGTCAAGCACTAATTTGAATAGATGGATATATGGATATGTAAGTGTATATAGTAAAATGCACTTTTGAATTATTATTTCAATAGTTTCATCTGAGCATGGACATATCTTCTTGCTTGGTTGTAGATTTAGAAATAAAATTTCACTGAAATTTTTTTATCTATTCAACATTTTTCTAAGTAAAAATAGGAAGGAAAAATAACTACATATTTGATTTGAAAACAACTTTCCATTGAGTCAGAGGTAGCATGGGGTCGAACGTATAGGAACAGCCAATGAAATACTATATGTAATGGCACTTTGAAAACTGTAGAACTACATGATGCCTTTGAAAGTTTTTGCTTTAAAGATACTCCCTAAGAAGGTTTCTTCGGAAGATCAGAGGCAAAACTCTCAGAGAAATCCCTACCAGATGGTCTTATAACACTGAACTTGTCTCAATAGTATCTCTAGAACAATTCCAGGACAGAGACATTTATATTTAGCCAGAGTACGCTTTTTTATTAAAAGCAAATTGTACATTATTTTCAGGTTGTGTTACATTTGATGTTTAGAGCAAAATAACCTAGATCTAGGCTGAGATTAGGAATGGGTCATGGAAATCAGACTGTGCTAAGGGTGAGGATACTTATGCAACTTCATGTGAAGAAGATATAAATTGCAGCATAGCAAGAGTGCCTACTTCTAATGTAGTTTGTGGGTTCATACATACCAGTTTTTAATGCAAATATTAAGTCATCAAACTCCTGGGACTCCTCATCAGCTATCAGTGACCCCTGGCCATATCCTCCAGAGGAAGGGAATGTGGCGCCATTTTGTGAACTGGGTTTTAAGTCAGGACTGGCCTGACTGGCTTGTTGAAAGGATCCTCTCTCCCAGTCAGGTGGTACCTTTTTGGGTTTGGATGGAGAAAAAAGGAAACCATAACATAAATACATACATATTTATCCTGAATGCGTATAAACTATATACAAACCAAGTGAAAAGGCTGTTGGACTGTTTAGAATTGAGACCTTTCATTGTAACTTTGTTTTTTAAAGACATATGTTTCCCCAAGAGACAATCTATTTTGGGATCTAAATAATTTCTCTATCAGAATTAATTGTAGATTTCTATGCAGTCATGTGTGGGGAAAGGAAATTACCTTTTAATCCAATCGTACCTTTTATTTTTAAAGAAATGTATTGTGTAAAGAAAACTGTCAAAAGTATAAGAACTGGTGAGGGACCCTCTTAATCTTTAGTCTAAGATACAAAATACAATTTAAAATATAGTAGCTATCTATAAGGACATAATGAATTGAAAAAATTCTCTGAGAGCATTAGAAACTCCTTTAAAAATTAAATTGTTAAAAAGATAGTTCTATCCTGAAATAATTAAACATATTCAATTCCTTCTCATTTACTGGTAAAAACCTCTTAATCCTTCCTTCCCTAATACTTTCCCTTCTGTGCAAGGCTTTCTAGAGTGTCTCTGACAGTCCCTCATTGACAGCTGAATCAAGGTCAATTCTAAGCCTCTGAGGAATGTAGAACACACGTTAAGGTATGCCGCTGCGCAACACGCCAAATGAACACTCAAGTAGTGGCTCAGGTCCAGGAACTGAACTGTCACAGCAGCTGCCTCCCAATAAGAGCTTTTCCGAGTGACTGTAGGGACGCTGCAGACTGAGAAAAGTGACCTGAGAACTACAGAAATAAGTTTGAGAAAAGACAAAATCTTTAAAAATTTCACTGAGAAGTTGAAACCAGCAGTCTTCAACAGAACTTTCTGTGATGATACAAATGCTTTATATCTGCATTCTCCTTTATGGTAGCCACCAGAAACATGTGGCTATTGAGCACTTGAACATGGTGATTACTAAACTAATTTTTTAAAAGAAAATCTGTTTTTTTAAAAGACTTCATTTATTTTTAGAGAGAGGGGAAGGGAAGGAGAAAGAGAGGGAGAGAAACATCAATGTGTGGTTGACTCTCGCGCACCACCTACTGGGGCCTTGGCCTGCAACCCAGGCATGTGCCCTGACCTGGAATGGACCTGGCAACCCTTTGGTTCATAGGCTTGTGCTCGATCCACTGAGGTATACCAGTCAGGGCTTAATAAACCAAATTTTAATGTTATTTAATCTTAATTAGTGTAAATTTACATAGCCACATGTGGCTAATGATTATTGTGTTGTACAGTTCAGATGTAGGCAGACAGGAGAAAGGGTAACCAATAAAAAGGGCAAACAATTTTTTAATAAATATTCATTCATGAATTGCTAATCCTAAAAATATCTATTCCATTCTTATCAACTTTAATGTGAAAATAATTCAGTTTTGAGAACTTCTGGGATATAGATACAGCACTAATTTCTAAATATTTATGGTACTAAAGATATAATCTAATTTTATATATTATACCTGATTTTTTTTATCATTTACCTTAATTTTAACCTGACATGGATAAAATTACTTTCTATATTAACATGAAAGAGAAAAAAATATCACCAAGCAGGTAGATTCATTCATTCATTCATTTCCTTCCTTCCTTCCTTCCTTGCTTCCTTCCTTCCTTCCTCCCTTTTTTTCTCTTTCTCTCTTCCTCCTCTTTTTCTCCTTCTCCTTCTTCTTCTTTCTCTCTCTCTTTCTTCCTACCTACCTGTCTATAAACTTTTTCCTTTTCAGACACATACACTTTGGTTTTCTGCCATTTTCTAGGATGTAAATAAATATAAGTACTGTTCACCATGGCTCTTTAATACACAGAGAGCAGCATGAGCTTGGCAAAGGAATAGTAGACTAGCACATCTTGGGTACTGCAGAAATTTCAGGGACCTGCCTATCACCTCTTCCTTGACAAATGTCTTCAGGTGTGATTTAAAATCTGAGCAATGGTCCCAGTGCCATGATAACATTACTAACAGGTTCGTGGCAATGTGATTTAGATACAGGAACCCAAAATGATGTGAACAAGGTGCAGAGAGGAATGGGAGGCAGACTTTACAGAGGACATTCTGGATAGATTTTCTAAGTAGTGCTGCTAAATCACTCTCCCAAGCTTTTGTTCTAAAACATTTTCTGGTATTCAAATTAAAAAGAGTTTCAGCCTCTTTTTATGAGTGTTTGTTGGGATTAAATTAGTGAGTTGGGATGGGTGAAGAAAGAGAACTGCCTAAGTATTTTTAGGAAGGACAGTATTTAAAAGCAATTTCTGAAGCTGAGTCGGTCACTGCCATGTCAAATTTGGAAGATTTTCAAGAAAGAGATGACAAAGTATGCTTTGTCTGAGCTCCTAGTACAGACTGCTGGTTAGGAGAGGTCACAGGGCAGGGAAGAAAATGAATGTGATAACAGCCATGATACCATAGTCAGCATATGAAATACCATAGATCAGAAAATGCCAGTAGGAGAAGAATTTAAAAGTCACATAGTACCATTTGATTTGTACTCTTTTTGAGATGTACAGATAGAAACGGACAGAGGAAGAGACAGAGGTAGAGACAGAGGGCAAGGGCAAGGGCAAGGGCAAGGGCAAGGGCAGGCACCTCCTCCATAGCACTGATAAGATTCTGGGTGGACTTGCTGATTTCCCCTCCAGCAGGAGGCATCCCGCTCCCAGGTGTGAAGAAGGCTGTGCTGGGTCCCGGGTGCCCGTTCATTTCCACTGTGTAGCTGGCCTTCATGGGGCAACAAGTCTGGTTGTGCAGAATGAAATAGACCACGAAAACGTAAAGTCCCTGCAAAAGAAAAGAAAACTAGCCTGTTAAAAGAAGTCCTGCTACCATAGCTGAAAAATAAACATGTTTGCAAGCACAGTGATTTTTTAGAAATGTCTTCCAAATTCTACCCAAAGCTGGGATTACAGAACAATGATAGAAATCTAGCAAGAGGCCACTGTAAATTTCTAAATGTCATGAATACGTTATTCCATGTCATTTAAGAAAATTGCTCTCTCACTAACAAATCATGTTTTTTCTAGGTTAAATCATAAGTAACTATGGCCCTGGCTGGGTGGGTCAGTGGTTGGAGCATCATCCTGTATACCAAAACATTGTGGGTTCAAACCTCGGTAGGGGTGTGTACAAGAGGCAATCAATTGATATTTCTCTCTCTCTCTCTTTCCACCCCCCCAAATCAGCAAATAGTCCTTGAGTATGGATTACAAAAAACAAAACAAAGCAAAACAAAAACCCCCAAAATAAAAACACAAGTAAGTCTGAAATGCAGCCCTACTAACACACAAAAACAGAATTGCAATTTTTTTGCTAAGGAAAAAAATGAGAGTAAGTGAGATATGGGAAAAAACAGTACATATCTGGAAGGCATTGTTTTAGAAAGTAAACCTTTTGCCTTCCAGAAATATACTGTCTTTTCCCATATCTCACTTAGTCTCACTTTTCTTCCTTAGCAAAATGGCTGAAGTTAGCTCCAACCACTTCATAGGCTTCTGAAAAAGCAATACTCATTAGCCTTCTCATTTTGTTTATATCTCATTTATCTCATTTGGAAATAGAATCACTGGGTAGGGACTCAGGAATTTTGTGGATTGCTTAATATTTAGCATGCTTTGCCTCCCAGTAAATGTTACATAAGAACAATAAAGCTATATTGTGCATTCTTAAAGATCTGCTGGCCCTTTAAATTATTTTGCAGTCTAGTCAAATTCTTAACAATTGCTCTACTTCCATCATAGATAGTAAATCAGATTTTGTATTTGTGTTCCCAACAGTGCCTACACTGCTTTCCTTCATGATTTCTACAAGGGGTCTACTGTATACTTCTAATGGTGCTTCCATAAGGCTTGTTAATTTTGACCTTTACATTCAGCCGATAAAACATGTTAAATTGTGCCTCTTGTGTCTATGAATCCTGGTGTTTAAGTTTTGGAAGTAAATAAGAATTGTCTGAGTTACTAAACTTCTTAAATTAATCACAAAAATAAAAGCAAGGCACTCAACTTATTAAAGAGGAAAAGAGTTACTGTCAATTTTTCATAAAGCACAAATAAGCATCCTCACAATGCAGAGCTGTCACCCTCCCACGGTTCCTAACATTTCTAGGAGTGTAGCAGCAATAAAGTAAATAATATATTTGTGAGCTTGAACCTTCTATCTGCTGGCAAAAATAGCAAAAAGACTCTTTGAAAGTACATACGACAAGAATTACAGCCAACTTTTAAAATAAAATTGAATTAGAGGACAGTCTGCAAGGTAGGCTGCTAGCAGTTGATGTGTTGCCATTTCTGGAACACTGAAAAATTAGGCCTTTCTCTCATTTCTGCTGGAATGACCCCTTTTTGGACTGGCATCTAATCTACTTCATTAACAAATATGTTTTAAAATCAACAGTTTAGCTGCTAAAATATTTTTAAATGTAATTACTCTAACAACGATAAGAAATTAGTAACAAACCTAGTTCCTTTTGAACTAGAATTTTTTTGAAACAATGTTAATATTGTAAATTATGGAGACGTAAATTATTTTCATGTGCAAATGATGTTGTGAACATTAGCAGAAACAAATCTTCCTGGAAACACACATACACATCCAAAATTTTTTCTTGTACAAGTAATTTTTCACATGAGTATGACCTAATTACATTGGCCACAGCGATAGACAAAACAGGAAAAACATTAAACTGTCAGCCTTGAAAATTGTGAGAATGTAACTGATTTATTTCAGGATTTCTAGTGGTATGAAATGATAGGGGAAGAGGTAGATCAGAAAACAAAAAAAAACCCATGCTTTAAAACCCATTTCTAAGGACCCATTTGTTAAAACAGCACATTCCCTCTTGTTGGCTTAAATATCTGGCCCTTTTGTGCTCAGGGAAAGGAACCGACTGCTGAAAATAACTTGCATGTGAAAACCTCAATTTTTTTTTCTTAAAAACCTATTCACACATACAGCAAATACTCTGAATCTTTTAGACGTGCCCCAGGAAACATACACACTGTTACAGGAAGAGAAAAGAGTGCTTAAATGCAGATCGTATGACATGCCTCTGCCCAGCCCCAGCTGGACACGTCGAAAAGGGACCTTCGTTATCCGAAGTGCTCAGCTGTGGAGGCTTCTGACCTCCGAGTGAAAACAAGTCCCTATTCCAAACACTGCATATTAAATCTCGGGTTCTCCCTCATATGCTGATCTGTAAAAAAATTTTAAGAGATGATATAGAATGTCAATTATTCACTTGAATAGGCTGGCCACCCACTGTGCACACTGCAGGCACTGAGATGCCAGGGTAAAATGTTTAGCTCTCCTCAAGCTGCTCACAAAGACGGCAATATCCTACAAAATAACAGGTTAACTGTTTTGGCAGCAGGCCCTATATAATCCATTTTCTTCCTATTTACCTCGTGAAGGCTTACAGAGAGGGGAATTCTTTCCGCGCATTGCTGTTTTGGCTATTTTGTTGGATCTCCAATGATGAAAAATGCTTGCAAAAGTCTTTAGTTAGATGTGTCTAGATTGAGCAGTCCTACTATGCCAATTTTGTATTTCTTTTGATTCAGGAATTTAAACTTATTAACAAATATTTCGTGAGGCACAACAAGTTAATAAATGTTTTTAATATCATCAAGGAGCAAAACAAGTACAGGAGATTTTTGGCTGATTACCTCAATAATTTCTGTCGGTCACCCCAATAAAGTCACTAAAAATAAATAAAAATAAAAATGGTAATTTCTATCAGTCCTATATGAGGTAAGAGAGAATCACCATTGCCATTTGACAAATTTGACCAAGGAGTAGTGGCAGATGAGGAGCAGTAAAATAGGTGATCAGGCTGCACATCTTGGAAGGAAAAGTCTCGGGCTTCACGTCCACCATATGGCACAAAACTCTGAGCTACATGTGTAGAGCAACCTGACATACTGACTCCACATGGCCTCTGTCTCTAGTACATATTTTAAGATTCTGGCAAAGAGTTTTGACCAGTGATATATGATAAGAAATATGCAGGTCATAGTGCCTATCCTGCCCATAACACACAAATAATTGCATCAGTCTAGATAATACATTTTATAGTGGTGCCAGCACTTAAATATTTGAGGAATTAACAGCTAGAGATCTATAGGCAATAGGGCTTGGTCATGCCAACACCATATCTCACTGTACGCCATGACAGTTAATGAACAACCGTGCTCTCAGTACCTGGAACCAACTATGGAAGAGGCATATCATGACTCAGAGAATCTGAAAAGAAAGAGATAATGAGGAAATTAAAGAAGCTAATAGTAACAAAAATACTCCAGGTCGGGTAATTGCTTTCCTTGATACAGGGAATCCAATAAATGTAACTGAAGATGAAAAAAGATATGACATTAATATAAGAACAGTTTCTTGAAAAAAACATAGTAAGAACTAAACCTGCAGATTGAAAGTAGAAGTATAAGACCATGGAAATTTTGATATAGATTTGTTAATACCCTAATCTCTTAATAAATGGTTAATTTTAAGATAGACCTCTTTACATCAACTTTCAGTGCTTAAAGATAATGAGCAATAGCCATTAAGTTTTGAGAAAAAAGGTGATCCAAGAAAATTATACCCAGCCACTATAGCATTTACAATTAGCAAACATAAAATAAAAGAAATGCTGGGAATTCAGCTTCCATGGATCTTTCCGGGGTAAATCCTTCCTCCCAATTACATGATAATAAAATGTAACCAGTAAAGAAATGAGTTGTCCATAGAGAGGCAAAAATAAATTCAGTAATGAAAGATGGCAAAAGGATCACGTAAAAAGACCATGCATTTATATACAAAACCAATACTGAAAAACATTATTGCAGTCAGAGTCCAATGTAAAGGTTAAGTATATGGGCAATGTAAAAAGCATAAAAACCCTCCTAAAGTTGGGAAGATTGGAGATGGGAGGAGATTTGAGAACTGATGTCTAGCATCTTTTTTAGCACATAGTAAACTGTAAACTCTAGGGGATGAAAACCAATGATTCCAATCTTTCAATGCATTTATAATTTCCTTTCTTAATTTTTGAGAGACCATTTATCTTTCCTGGTGTGATTAGAATATTTTTGTGATAAAGAAGCATTTTTGAAATTAAACAATGACTTGTCTTCCATTTTAGATTTTTTTTTGTGTGTGACAAATTTAAGTAAAATTAAATTAAGTTTGGTATATTATAGTAACTATAATATGGTCAGATATTTAAAATTTACTTATATTTAGGCATCTAGTCATATTTAGTATGCCTAGGAAAGTGTCTGGAATGATGTTTACTTAATGTTATTATTTTTACTTTAAAACAGTTAATGACCTTTAAAGAGACTTGGTAACATAAGTTATATAAGGTAGGAATGATTTTGAAAATGATCCTTCATATTTAATGGCTTATTTGCTCTTTCTGATGTTCTTCATTCCTTTCAATAGAAACAGATTTCTCTCATATTTTCCCCTTTTTCTTTAGACTGCAGAACTTCTTTTTATCATTTGTTGTAGTTCAGATTTGTTGGAAATAAATTCTTTCAGCTTTTGTCTGCATGGAAATGTCTCTATTCCATGCAGACACGGAATAAATTATTCCATCATTATTATTATTTCACTGGATACAGAATTCTAGGCTAACAGGTTCTTTTTGTTTGCTTGTTGGGGTCTTAAAGATGTCATTCCAGCCCTGGCCGGTGTGGCTCACTTGGTTGGGCATTGTCCTGCAAAAGTTTGCCAGTTTGATTCCTGATCCATCAGGGCACATACCTGGGTTGCAAGCCTGGTCC